AAACGCAAGAAACTGTTTAATGTTATAGACAAAAAATGTTAAAACGCATTTCAGTAATGTTCAATTATAAAATCGTCATTTTTAAGTTGTGTTATCGCCGCTACTTCGACTATCTCAATACCTTATTAATTGTTCTGTATATTCAATGGATTTGTTCCAGTACTCGTGTGTAATATGATTCAACACATCTTACCAAACCTTTGATCTTGCTCGGATGTAAGACTATCATCTATACTTTTTTCCCATAGCATTTTAATTTAATTCTATTGCTTTCAACTGGCAATGATAAAGTTGCTGGCGTAGAACCTTATGTTTCATCTACGGCATATATAGTTGGTTTTTTTATGGTTCTTGCCATTGAAGGGATTTTTGATTTCAGCATATTTCATTCTGATTCTGTTTTTCAAGCCACTCATAATAGTATATTAGGTATGCAAAAACTATGGTAAATGGCTCTTGAGTCACGAGTTTATTTGACATGAGCGGAGCGCGATGGTGCGAGGGTTTAATAGTATATTATGCAACAAGTGCGGTTAACGGGATTTGACTCACGAGCGGAGCGCGTGCTTAATAAACGAGTGAGACCAATTTAACAAATTAAAAATAATAACAGATTTTCGGATTGCTAAATTTGGCATCATTCAAATAACATTTCTACCAGTGGCTATTAAATCTACTCGTTTATCGTTCCGACCGGTTCTGTTATTGTTGTGTATCTTTAACTGTTTACTTTAGACAGAGAGGGATATATCATTAGATATGTCATATAAACAACGTAATAAACACAACTTTAAAACATTATGTTGTTTATTTAACTTTTGCAGTTAATTATTAAGTAGTTTATTTAAAGAAAAAGGTTGTAATTTGGAAGAAAAATCATCCCAGGATAGAGCTTCTAAGAGAATTCAATTTTTAAGCTCGTATAAGCAAGAAAAAGCAACTCCTAACGTTCAATTTTGTTTTGTTTGTTTGTTCAAAATACTACAATTGGTCTTGGCAAGATATTAAAATAAAGACTGTAAAAATCTTTTAAGTTTATCCGAACTGTAGGTAAAATTTTTGTGGGAAACTTAAATTATAAATGTCACTTTACTTGCCCACTAGAGTTTAATTGTAGCTTATAGCACGTAGTATTTAAATTATCTGATATATTGCATAACATTTTTCTGTGTATTAGTTGTTATGTACATCTTTGCAAAACAAAATCCATACATTCACTGACATGACCGTCAGCATTGACAAACGTCAAAATTCAAAGCGTGGGAAATATCTCCGAAAATATCCGATTGCTCTCAAATCCGTTGGGTAAAATCCCGGAAATGTCCGAAGTGACTCGGATTCTTGGGAAACGAAACTGACTTCCCGCACGCTCACTCACGCACTCACTCGTTTATTAAACACTCGCTCCGCTCGTGTCCAATAAACTCATAAGTCAAATGCCGACGGTTGCGAGCCACTTCGGAAATTTCCGGGATATTACCACAAGAGTTTGGAAGCAATTGGATGTTTTCGGAGATATTATCCACGGCTTGAATTTTGTTTGTTGTGTTGTTTTGCAAAAATATAGTCATAAACTATTGTTTGTATAAAAAGTATAGTATGTAACACTACAAGTTTACTCGTTTATTACACACTCGCTCCGCTCATGCCAAATAAACTGTTTACCACACTTGTAGCGTAAATCAGTATTTTCTTCCAAGAACCTAGTGTTTTTTTATTTAAAATTCTTGAATGATACGCTGCATTGTCCAACAAAAATTCATGAAGGAGCAACCAAATTTGGTATCAGTTTTTCTTTTAGCCATTTTTCAAACATTTCACAGTTCATTTTTTATAGTAAAATCTTTTTGATGGCGAAGAAAACATTAAAATTGCACCTTCAATAGATCATTTTGAAAAATTGGTATAAAAAAATAATGAATCGCTTTCCGCTACCACATTCCCTTTTCCTCTTGACACTTTTTACAGACTCATCTAACCCAGATTTTGAACTACTTCCACATAACGTTTCTTTGGACTTCTTTTCAGAATTGGAAGAGTTACATTGGTTTTTGTTCTATATCAATCGTAAATCCTTCAACTGATTCCCAGTGTTTTCGTTATTATTTCCTGGATAGTTTATCAAATTTAAAAATCATTTCTCCGCGGGGACGCAAAAAAGCAGGAAATGGCTTATTATTATTCTATTGCCACTAAAAATTGTCAAAGTCTCAAAAATAATGAATCGCTTTCCGCTACCACATTCCCTTTTCCTCTTGACACTTTTTACAGACTCATCTAACCCAGATTTTGAACTACTTCCACATAACGTTTCTTTGGACTTCTTTTCAGAATTGGAAGAGTTACATTGGTTTTTGTTCTATATCAATCGTAAATTCTTCAACTGATTCCCAGTGTTTTCGTTATTATTTCCTGGATAGTTTATCAAATTTAAAAATCATTTCTCCGCGGGGACGCAAAAAAGCAGGAAATGGCTTATTATTATTCTATTGCCACTAAAAATTGTCAAAGTCTCAAAACTAACGCCTGCAAAACAAAATTTTTGAAAACTGCTTACAATTTTAATAATCATTTTTTCATTTCGAGATACTTGCACGTCTGTTTTATTTATCTTTTGAATCTTATTTAGAAGGTACAATTTAAGAATATAAAAGAAAAACAAACGTGGAGTTGGAATGGGAAATACTGTTACTAGAATTAAAAACTGTATGAAGTAAAGTGCATTTTTATTTTAATTATGGAATCCTCTGTCTTAATTTTTATCGGAGCAGATATTTTTTTTGGTTAGAACTTTGCTTGCATACTTATGTGTTTTGTCCTCATTGATTTATTTTTTGCTACTAAAACGGCATCAATAGAAGTTCGGCAGAAGTTTTTCTTAGCGACCTGCATTTAAGTGTATTTGGTTCGTCAGTGGTTTCAGTGTAGATTAGGGTATATTCATTTATTTAATACAATACTATAGAGCTAAAACCCAATTATAGAGCAAAGTACAATCTGAATTCTAACTTAAAAAAAATTATACAACAGATTTATAAATCAAATAAATTTCGTGATGATATCCTATTATAAAAATGATATTTAATATATTTCATCTTAGAATATAAATAGCAAATAAATCTATATTTAGTCCTACAGACTTCAACTCAACATGGTGTATAACAGAGAGTTCCCATAATGACTGTTCTGGAAGTCAAAGACTATAGAATTATCCCTTAGAAACCTAACATTTATTTTACGGAATAAATATGGGGGCGGTCATTTAAATTACTAAAAATTTATTATTACATCCTATTACGCCTTCTTTTTAAGGAAAAAAGTTCCAAGTTTGGTATGTCTATAGGTGGATACGCCCTATCAAGTTTAAAGCTTAGTAGCTTTTTAGAGATGGCCCCTGAACAGCCTCAACACGATCAATCGGAATAGATGCATTTTCAAATTAACGGCACAGGACAGACAGACAGTTGTTAAATGTTAGTTTATTGTCAAATTTCCTTCCAAGATCTGTTTAGGGAGACACTGTCAATAGAATGTTCAAGTGATTTTTGTATTAACCCGAGAGGTATACCGGTACGTTTTTTAGAGGTTCACGGTTAATTATTCTTTTGATACCATACTTCAACATTACGTAAGTTATCTGACAAAATTTGAAAATCATTTTCTTATTCTACTACAAAAGTTTTAGATCGTCAGTACTCGTTAACACTAATAACTTCCTCTATATCGTTGATGGAAAGGTTCAAAAACAGGGGTCATTTAGAGTAACAGTAACGTATTGAATTCGACCGTCTAAATAGATTTGAATTTAAATAGACTCCAATGCGAATAACATCAGTTGCAAGTCAGTTGGCAATGTCCTCAGCAATATACTATTATGGCAAATAAATTTGTAGCTACCCTTCATGAACTCATGTTGATAGTTGATGTAGGTTAAGAGTTCGAAATTACATTCACAAACGTACTTTTCACTGTAGAGTAGTATTATTAAACAAAAAGCAATAATACTTCTTCCGAAAATTTTGGAAAAACAGAAGTATAGAAAGAAATTGCAAGAACATTTTTATGTAAATTTTAGGGTACTGGCACGCACTGGCAACGCACCTGCTTACCTTTAAACGATAAGCAGGAAAACGTATAACTACAAATACATTTTAATGGAACACAGCTCACTATTGGTCCCATACTGTGGGAATAGATCATATCCAGGAGAGATGTCCAACTTTCTTCCTTTTGCATCAGCCTTAACGAATGAATCAAGACTTTGGGTGGGGCACTATGGGTAAAACTTTATCCTACATCTTAATCTTATCCAACATCTTAATAACACATCAGGAAAAGGCTGTACAAGGAATAGTATTGACCAGAAGCTTGTTCCAGTAGCAGTGTTGTACCGAGTATGCTGCCTCCATATGAATGAATAGCAGGCATATCCATAAACTTGATACCCAACTGAACTGAACCAGCAGCATTACTCACACTCACACTTTTTTAATACAGTTTTGATGTTCGATTGAATTAGGTGTGCTTTAGATAGCCAAAATGGGGCACCTAAAATTGGGTATCAACTAGAAGTGACCTAGGGACGACTATAGTAGTCTAGTAAATGAAATTCTGCCTTAACCTACAATTATATGCCACATAGCGTTATTGAATACAGCCGGAATATTTTAGTTAATAATTAATTTAATTAATATTTAATTGAGCTTAAGATACCAGAGAGGAAGTACAATAATCTGCTAGTAGAGAGCACAGTTGTGGATTAGGTATTGCAGTAGATTATTAATCAATTCAGATTAGGATTACCAACGATATGTATCTATTTCGATCGAAATTTAGATGATAATATAATCCGCTATATATACAATAATCCGTAACGTCCCTAAGCAAACATTTAACATTCGCTGTTGGTTACTTGTTATGCTACCAGAATTTAGAAATAATCCAAAGCCATCAAATTTCCAGTCGTATTCGAGTTTGATGTATATCGTATCCGTTTCTAGGGGCGTTCCGACTTTACGACGTCGACAACGATGGATTTATCACACGGGACGAGATGTACAACATAGTGGACGCCATATACCAAATGGTGGTGAGTATATTTGCGACGGGTTTTTTAAAGGGCGGTATTTTCGTGTGCGGAAAATCGAAAAAATAATATTCCGAGAGTCGAAAAGACGGAGAAGTTCACTGGAATGGCAACTAGTCGACCAATATTTGTCTTGCCTGGAAATTGAGCCTGTCGCTGCGGTCTCAATGTCCACACACGTCGTCGTTCGGCACTGCGTCGCGGCGGAGTCTCTTATTTTCGAGTGTTTGGAGATGGAGATGAAATTGAAGCGCATCGGTGTTGTTTTTTTTTAATTACTCTCGCCTGCCAAATATTGATCCATTTTAAATTTTAATAGTATTTTTTTTAGTTTAAGTTTAATGTTAGATTTTTAGATATTGAGTGCTAGAAAAATAAAAATGTGAAACTGAATAATTCAAGAAACGTATTACCTATTTTGTGACAATTTAATGTAATACAAAATTGTGACTGCATTCTCTGCTACTCTTGATTCTATTTATGTACCTATAATATTTGTTTATATTTTCTGAATATATTATTGAAACTTGAAACACAAAAGTGATATTGATATACAAAAATTTTGCGAAATATGGATTTTCAGTATCATACTTCAGGTTGAGTTAGATTGATTTACTTATTATGTTAAATTTTTGTCAAATTTGACAAAATATTAGTTTAGATTGTTTGTTTTTATGTTTTTTTTTTATACGTTAACTTATATAAAAAATCGTATGGCTTGAAAGAAATAATCTGAAGGTTATTTCAATTGGAGCTTACTTGATTTTGATATTGTAATAATTGTTGGAAATTGATGACAATTTCTAAGTGGTATTTAGTGGCAATTTGAGAGAGATGTGGTAATTAATTTAGTCCATAGAAATCCACAACGGAATCTCCCTCGTTTATATATATATAATTTAAGTTAACTTTTTTTACCTAACTTTAAGTAATTGCTAATTTATTTAAACAAAACTTTTGTTTTTGAGATAAAAAATAATTTTCTTTTATCCAAATTTTTGGTATGTAGTGAAACGTTTGAAAATCTTTCCAAATTTTGATACGGCTACTGCTTTTATTTTAACATTTTTCAGTACTGTAACGTCAGCAAAATATTTTTTAAAATTTTTGGTCTATTTATCTTGTTGCTAATGGAAAGCAAAGCGGAAAGTAAAAAAAACTGACGAGTGTCACAAAATAAATAATTATATTTGTATAATTTTTTTATTGCCTTTTCTAACATTTCAAAAGTTAAAATAATATTCTTTTTCTTCTGTTGAAATTATTTTATTTTATTTATTTTATAACAAATTATTAGCAGCTGCAGAAATCTGAATTGAACAAATCCCTTTCACTCTTTCTCCATCAGAAGAATTTTGGGACTTCTTAAAATAAAAAGCTGGTATTCCACCCGCAAACTAGTACCAACTAAATATCAGGAGAGATATGAACAAGTATACCAGTTCGAACTTCCACTGTCTTTACATAATTTAATAAAATAAAATAGTAAAATGACAATGGAAGCTCGAACTAATTTTAGTTTTACGTATAGGTGTTGTAAAATTTTAATGCAGAAAGCATTAATAAGGAACATAACGGAATATATTTTGGTGTATTTTCCTCGCTTTGCAGACACCTTAACACCATTTTTCGTGCTCAAAGTACCAGGATAAAGGTTTTACTGTACTTGACTTTCCTGTCTAACAAACGAATACTACGATTTTCTGGCCTAATAATATGGCGGAAAATATCACTTTTGTCACGATTTTTTAATATTTACAATCGAATTTTATTACAATATAGGGACAGCAACCGTCGGAAGATGAGAACACGCCTCAAAAGCGGGTCGACAAAATCTTCGATCAGATGGACAAAAACCACGACGACAGATTAACGTTGGAGGAGTTCAGGGAGGGCAGCAAGGCCGACCCGAGAATTGTCCAGGCCCTGACCCTCGGAGGCGAATAGCCCATCGGCGGCGGCATCGAGCCAGAGACGATCTGACGTTTCTCGACTGTTTTGCTAATAATAAGGTTTTAACGATTTGTAAAATGTTAACGTGGCGTAGTATTAAGCCCGACGAGGCCTTAGAGTTTCCGGGTATTTGTATAAATATGCCAAAAACAAAAAAGAAAAACGACCTCGTCTCTCTCTGACATTGTGATAAAAATGTGTACAGTTGAACGCGTGACGTAGCTTAAGGGCACCGGGTCGGTGTTTTCTTCTAATTGTTGTAAATAATGAAGCGAAAACGCAGGGGGTATCGCGGTTCGAAAAGGGCGGAAAAAATATAGCTTTTATTGTTTGCCGAAAAAGTTTTATGAAAAAATAAAAAAAAAATAAAAGTAAAAAACTACGCAGAACGTGTGTTTAAAAGTTGGAAAGGTTTTTCCGCCATCGGGATATCGGGGAATCCTCTGCTCCAGTTTTTCGTGGTTTGTTTTTAATCACTCTGTACAAATAACGCCCTGAATAATACCCATGAAAAGCTCGTAATCTAAAGTTAACTTGGGTACACATATTTTCGTTATTTTTAGCCCCTCCATTCTGTCGCCGTCGATACATCGAAGTATTGGCGAACTTTTATATTGAAAAAGTTTTTCCGACAGCGCATATTTCGGGTTCCGCGACTTGGCGCGAGAAGTGGCGTTATATTCCATACCCATCATCTTTGCGTACAAAACACAATAAAAATATGCTTAAAGTTAATCAAATATTTATAGTTCCGGTGCATCCCCATACGTAAAAAGGAATGCCTAAAGGTACGCCCTTTTTGGACAAGTCCGGGAATCTCCCCGTATGTTTAAAACGATTGTATATAAAATCAATTACAAACAACAAAATTTATTTATTGTTACGCATTGTATAATACAGGGCGCTTCAGAGCGCGTTGCGGGCGAAATAGTTTTTAAACTTGAATGGTGTATAGATTTTTAAAAGATGCTTAACTATAGTCTTAATCGTCGGCCCTAGCTGGTCGATTTTAAAAATACGTCTTATTCGATACGCGTCCGACAGAATTTCGGAAGCATTTCCCTTTTTCGAGGCACCACATACTAGTCTTAAGGCTCTCAAGTAAAATATGTGTGTGCGTTGTTAAGCAATATTTTCATGCTCAAGTTACCCATCAAATTATACCGTTTAGCAAGTTGGTATTTATTATAAAATTCGAAACTTTAGCTCTTTTGGTTTAAAACGTCGTCATTGCCCAACATTCGAAAAAAAATTGAATCTTAAGCACGAAAACGTTGCTAGTAGTTACATTATCGCGGTTCGGTGACACTCGTTTGAGTCGCAGAATCGGGTTAGCATAACTACTGTCGCCGGGCTTTTTTCTTTTCCATCGTACCGATGCGCTAATGATTTCGTTAATAACTTTTCTGTGATAATTACAATCATTGTATCGCAATAACGGAAATGCTGTGTCTTGAATTGCAGTAGGCTGTTCTCGTTATGTGTGTCGTTGTTTGTTTTTCGAATAACCGCTGGTGTCGTTGTTACTGTAATTATTAAGTATATAGTAATCATTATACCGATTATAACATTATACCAAGTGGCGTTTTTTTTAGAAAATATCCTTTTCACCAGTTGCGATAGTTTAACAGAAACTGCGTTATAACGATCAAGTACGAGGTAACGGTGTTGATGATGATGCCGAGGACGCGAAAGTTAATGTCGAAAAATCCACCGGCGGACAGAGATGGCATCCGGGTCGAGCTCTGCAGAGCCAGCAGCTGAAGTTCCTCTTTCAGCAACCTTTCGTTGTCATCCCTCGCAACCCCTTGGAGTTCGTTTAACAGTGAGAAGCAGATTTTAGTCGTTTTCTTTCCTTCGCGCGTGATGAACTCGCCGTAGAAAGAAATTAGGAAAGCTTGTCCCTACAACACGGCAACATATTATTCAATGTAACGATCACAAAGTGAAAATGGCAAGGTTTTCTGTTACTCTTCGATATTTTCATTTACACATTTGCACATTTATTTTCCAGTGATAATAAGTATGATTTATTAAAAAATGTATTAATTATTTGTCTGGACTGTTTAAAAAAAACAACAGTTGTTTATTTCTAAGAAATACCTAAATCAAAAATTGTAAGAATTTTTTTTTAATTTAGATATTTGGATTTTCAAGTTTGTTCTATGGAACTAATCATCTTACGACAAATTGTGACAATATGGCTGTCTTTTATGTTAGTTTCATTTCACTGCTTTCGTCTGATTACGAGTGCTTAATAGTTCCCCACCGCTAGTGCGGTTTTTGGAAGTATTCATTATTTTCCTGGTTTCAAGTACCACTATACGTTTAACTTTGCCTCCATCTCAACCTATAGAAAGCTGAAATTTTGTTTGGAATTTGTTTATCTAGATAATTGTGTTCCATAGTATACAGGATCTTCATGTAACAAGCAAAAATGAAGGCCTCAGCATTTATACTGTGCTATTTTTTTTGTTTTGGTTTTCTGTCAAAACTCCAGCGTACTATATAATAAAATAAACTGAATACAAAAATTGTTTCTATTTCCCGCTATATATTTATAAATAGCTACATTAACTTGAAACTTCATTTTGTTTCTGTTTTCTGTTACGTTTCTTTACTTACACTATACTTCCAATAAATATTTTATCGTTTGTTTCGATTTCGAAAGCTGAATTCAACGCTAACTCCGCGGTAAAAAGATTCGTCTATGTGCAATACGTACCACATTAGTCAAGATCCAGAAGCTGATTAATCCGAAGAAGTACATCCGAGTAATCCTTTTCCCGTCATCCTTATTGCTAAGTAAAACGTACTCGATGACCGTGGTCAGGTTTTCCAATATATTAGCTATTATGAACAGTATGAAAACTAGCAGAATCCTGCCGAACATCTCGTTGAATTTCTCCACCAGCTCACAAAGTTCGAAGTGTACCTTCCTGAAATTTTTGATGCTGTAGAAGTGTTGGTCACCAGTTTGGGCTTCCACGACGTTCCTTTTCAGATACTTCTCCGTGTCATACACTATGAGCCGGTTCATTTCGACGAAGCGAAGCTCAATTTTACGGGCGAACGTCAGCAACAATAAAATCACCAGGTTGAAGACGTAGAACTGAACGTCCCGGAACACGAACCCCCGATAAAAATACCACCCGTACGTTGATATGTAGAGCGAGGCGTTTAGGGTGATCAGCGAGCCGATCACTAAGTTGCAGAGGAGGAAGTTTCTCAGAATGTGGAACTTTCGAATGGCGATCAGCGGCACGAACAGTCCTTTTCCTTCCGGGTAAAGATTTTTGAAGAAATTGTAGGCGGGTTCGACGTTATTCAGCAAGCAATATATACTAGTCAGGCTGCACAGCGTCAGGATGAGGGAGGTCACGTGATCCACTACCTTAACGATGGAATTGTAGTCGTTGAACACCGGGTCCTGGTTGCTACGAAACGAGAACGCACTACCGAGGATGACGGCAGAGGCCAGCGTGACCTGCAGAGGTGCGTGAACCCAGCTTCTTTGGGCGACGGAGACGATCTTGTCCAGTACCGATTTGCGCCTCTTGAAGATATCTGGTTTAGGGTAGATCGTCCGCGTCATGGTGGCAGACGGACCTGAACGTTTATGACGCCCGGGTTGGAAAATTTCGTGACCACACTTCGGCGATAGTCATCGATTAATTAAGTTCGCTAAACAGGCAATTACCTCGAAGGGGACAATAAGAAGCAGGTCGCACGCAAGTGTCGTCTGTTAATTGTTTACAAACGATTGAAACAGATAAAGACTGGCCTATTTAGTCCGTTACGTGAGAAGAAAAATAGACGCCTGCCCGTTAGCTTTGAAATTGTATATTTCTTGTAATCGGTCCGAGACTAGCAAGTTTAGTTAAAGTTACATTATCATTTTAAGCATTATAGGCAACAAACTCTCATAGCCCCAAGTGAAAGAAGCTAGGCAGCAAAAATTGGCATTCGAAAGTGCTTTTTATAGGAGAGAACAAAAATAATTGTAGTGATAAGAAACACAATGGTAATTATTATTAAGCACTCGTGAAAATAACTAATAATTATGTAGATTTAACATGATGTTCTACCAATGATCTCTTCAATAGAATCAGAAATTAAAGGCTGATGGTTATCTGTCATGGTTTACTTTATAAGTGCTCCTCTACGCCAAATTGACGTGCCAATATCGTTGACTAAAGAAATTTACTGGCTAACTAAGGCTAACATACGTCGCATTGTTGGTTTAAAGATTTAAGGTTATGTTGTGATATGAAGTACGTTCCCTTGTTTTGTGTAATAATATAGTTATTTGTTTATTCGCATACTTCGAAACAAACTGAACATCCAGATCGCCAATTTTCTTGCCAATAATTGCTCCAGCTTGTTGAATATTATATTGGCCAACATGTAGACGAGACTTTAGTGTCACGTAGGGAGACGATTTTTATGTCTTCGAAGTTTGGAATCGAAAAAAATCAATTTGCTATTCAGCTTGTACGGGTGTTTCAGTTGTTGTTGTTCAGAGTTTTTATTATTGGAGACTATTTAGCAGAGTTGGTGATCACTTGCCAATAGTGTACTATTCAATTATTTCTTTGTCAATATTAAAATTGGAAATTTAACTTACAAATATTAAGTTTTCAGCGCAATAATTATCTATTACATGGGTGCAATATCCATTTTCTAAACCCGATTTGCAATGTGTATGTTACCTTCAACAAACTATCATCGCACTGTGATTTATATTATGATGGTCTCCAGGCGGTACTTCGGCAACTTCGATTGGCGTCGGGTTATCCGTACTGACAAGCGTTATACTTTTCTTTCTTTCTTTTTTTTTCAATTATAATGGTAGTAGATTTAAGATTAGATTTTCCGTTCTCTGTAAATATGTCATATGATTCATATATAATATTTCCTGTACTTGGATCATGTTACCTGTTGCAAATAAAAAAATAAAGTGCTATTATTAAACTTGTTATTTGAAGGTGCCATATTACGTGGTCTGAATATTCATATACCATTATCAGAGGGAATACATTTTCTATAATTCTCTTAACTTATTGTTTCATTTTCAATTCTAATACTAACCAAGTAATCGAATTTTTTAAAAATTGAAAATAATCACGAAGTCTGTTAAATAGCTTGTAATAATTAAAAAACGCACAAAAACTTATATGACAAGCTGGTTTATTTTTATCCGAAACATGAACAGCTACCTAAATAGATGATGCAACGTCGCCACTAAAAAGAAATTTTCACAAATAAATACGTCACGCACCTTGTCCGAAATGTAGAATTTTTAAAAAGTAATAAATACTACCTAATTAAAACAGTCCAACCTAGAAGTCGCCGAAATCCACAGAACCACCGAATTTTAGATATCCTGCGTTTAATTAGCCCTTGCTACCAAAGACTAATATTTCGGAGCATATTCTAAACGCATACCACAAACCAAAAGCTTTGTTTGACATATCCAAGCATAGAACGTGAATGACTGAACCAAACCTTGGAAAATCCATTGTACCGCCACGACCATGGTAACAAAACCATTTATAAATTATGTTGACTGTCGGTTTCGACTCATTTAAAGAATAAATTGTCGTGTCTTTTTTGGATATAAATTCATTGATTGCTACGGCCACCAATAAAAATCCTTATTTGCCGTCGATGTATATTTGTATTCGAAGTAAACCCCTTCAGTAGGCGGGACCGCCTGAAATGTGATTCGACGCGCCGATACTGGCCAGGCTTCTAGTGTATTCGATCTTCACCTTCAAAATCTCTTCCCTGAGGAGCCGTTTCTTGATACTCCCTGTAGCCGTACGCGGGAACTCGTCGTAGAATATGATCTTGGTCAGTTTCCTGTGATCCGGCGACCTTTCACTGATGTACCTACCGCGAGAGGGCGCGGTTCGTGACGTCTTCCACCCACGATAGACTTACTCATTACGACATCAGTTTGTCCGCCGTTAAGGTACTCTCCGACTTTTTCTGCACGCACGCGATCAACTCTGCGGCGTTGCCGATAACGGCTGCGTCGCACACCGTCGGATGCGACAAGATGACGTCCTCGATCGCAACCGGGAAGTAAAAATTGTCAGCCGACACGTGGATGATGTCATCCACCCTGCCGCGCAAGTACAACCAGCCGTCGTCGTCGTACTGTGCGACGTCACCGGACTTGAAGTATCCTTTCTCCATCGTCGTGAGTGTAGCCGAGTTGTCCTTGAAGTAACTGCAACAACGACCCGCATACGGGAGAGGATAAATCGAACGATTTGGCAGTTCCGCAACTGTGAACGACGTTCATGTCCCTGTACAGTCGCAAATGGATGCGTATTGATGATGGATGATTGGTTTGGCGAAATTCATTCCAACACGCCAAACAAATGAAGCCCCAGTACGGCGCTAAGAATTATGAAAAATTTGAAAGAATTCCAGACGAATTTCTGGTAATTATAAAAGCACTGTTATATCCAGTCCTTCCACTACCTTGAGGGTCTTGATAAGTAGATGTATAGTGCCGATATAAGCAACAGAAACCGTACATAACCTCAATTTCCTAACCCCCCCGCAGCGGGGGCCCCCCGCGCGTGGCGTCCTAGTGTCCCCCCTGTCTACCAGAGTGCGCTCCGCCCCCCACCCAGCTTGTGTAGTGTCCTGTTTTGCCCCGGTTCCGCCCGTCGCTGCTAGATGTCGCCAGCTTGTGTAGCGTCCTGTTTTGCCCCGGTTCCGCCCGTCGCTGCTAGATGTCGCGCGCTCCGACCGTCGTAGGCCCCCCCGGTAGAGGGCGGTGACGGTGCGGCGCGGTGACGCGGTGGATCGGGAGGATAATTAAATAAACTTGAATTTTAATACATTTTATTTTATTTATAAAATTGGTCTGGCGAGGAGTTTCTTCTTCTTTTTATGTCGATTCAGTCGACCATCCCATTGTTCCTGTTCCTTGCGTTGTTCTTCTTCCCGTTCCCGGAGGAAATCTAAATACGAAGTGCACTCCTCGCCGTCCCACTCCGTCGACCACCCACCCGGGTACTCCTGCTGCTCCTTTGTTTCTTTTGATCCACCGGGTTGCTCCTGCTGCTGGTGATGTTCCCTTGTCGTTTCATGTCGTACCGGGAATTCTAACCCCCGGTACTCTTTGTGTGATTTGAATATGTGACGCCCTAAGCGATGCGCCAACATAATATGCGACTTGTTATACGGACAAACCGCGATTTTTTCTAGAACAAAACAAAGTATGATATGTAGCGTTTCCTATAAAACACACATTTTTTTTTTTTAAACAAAACTTCCAAAAAGGGGGGTTATCAAATAATTTTAAAAATTGTTTTTTAAGTTATACGCGCATACTAAAATTCACGTTTCAATTCACTGTCATTTAAATGTAAGTGTATTATTGTCAAAAGGGCAAACTGCAATTTTTTAGTACAAAAAATAAACAAAAATATGTATATATTTCGCGTTTTCCCCATAAAACGCACATTTTTGAAACAAAACTTTCAGTAATTTTAAAAATTGTTTATTTTTTAAAAGCCAAAATTCCCTATTCACTGTCATTTAAAAGATATTAAAAACGCTCAATTTAATTCGATTATTATTGTCAAAAAGGCAAACTGCAATTTTTTAGTACAAAAAATAAAACATTTTTGAAACAAATTTAAAAATTGTTTATTTTTTAAAAGCCAAAATTCCCTTTTCCATTCACTGTCATTTAAAAGCTATTAAAAACACTCAATTTAAATCGGTTATTATGCAACGTAAAAAAGATGAGTATCATATTTTAAAAACAGGTAGAAACTAACCAAAAAAGTGATAACCCAAACTGAAACCCACAAGAAAAGACGCGCACTGTATAAAGGTAATTAAAATATAAAACTTACCAGTTGTAGGGTCGTAGGGAAATGGACATCGCACTTCTGTATTCATTGCACTGAATATAGTCTATAATACACATGCAACGTATTTATACACATGCACTCCCTTCCATGGTTGAATTAAAAGTCGAAAGGTCTTCTACCCACAAGCACCAACGCCGATTTGAATAGACGCGATGTTGTCGCCAGACAACCGTGCAGGTAGGAGTCTCAAGGTCAACACGCTTTCACACGGGAACGCAACCGTTTCGGACGTTGGACGAACGTATGTTGCCGCAAAAGATCAAGGCCAACTTGCTTTCATTTTTTACAATCTCCGTATGGGATGTGGAATTTCAAAACGCGCCGAGTCTAAATGTCAAGTTGTTTTGCTTGTTGAGAATAATAATTAATTGCCCCCTTTATATTTGCTCCGTGGGATTAACGTAATGGGAAAAATTTGTTGCAACGCATGTGGAGGTGTCTTCGTTTGTTAACTTTTAGAAAGTATTCTCGCACCGTATAAATACATCTCATTTTTCTCTGTTTTGTCAGTAGTTGTTTTTGGTATTATTCGTGCAACGTGGAAGCTAACTTAGTGGTTTGGTGTTCGTACAAAAAATCAGTAAGTACCTTTTTTATTGTCTTATTTTAATTCTTTAACATTTGTTATTATTTTATAAAGGTCCTAAAGATCATCTTAGTACTCTCAACCCGTAACCGCAAATAGAATAGCAGCAATCTTAAGCGTAAGTTTTTTTTATTTTTTTAATTTTGAGATAAAATAATTAATAATAATTTATAGATGGACTTAAGTCAACTGAATCAAACCTGTCTTGCAGAAGGTGATTTTGAGCAGCCGATTGTCAAACTGCATGAATTGCCGATAGGCGTTCCGTTTAAAATTACTAGAGCCAAAATTGTTAATACAAAATTTGGCAATTCCGTGTTGCTGCAATTAGAAAATTCCGTAGTATTTCTTCCTACTCGCGTGACAGAAGCTTTCCGTCCGAGACTAGAACACTTTGCGTCGGGGCAGTACAAACTGGTCTACGAGGGATCCAAAGATATTGGAAAGCCCAACTCTTTAAAGAAATTCAAAATAATTCAAAATTAATCAACATATTATACAGGGTAAGTCTTATTTACTGTTATATATTTAATAAACCACGATGCGCGTAAAGCAGATCATTCATAGAGCGCAAATCTTAATTTTAACCTTACAAAAATTAAAAAAGCATATTTCCGACAAGTTCACTCTTAGAGATAGTGATGTGTGGCTTAGGAGACTAAATAAAAATATTGAATCTTGCAACCAAATCGTTTCTAACGAAAAGGATTTATCTATTGGGTTAAAAAGAAAATTACAAACTACAATTCAACATCTGAAAGCTATTAGAAAAATTATTCTTAATTATCAACATAAGCATTTTGGATTGGGATTACAAAGTAGTAGCCGCGAGACAAACACAAATGAAATGGTTGTATGGGAATCGGTAGCGTCGTGTTTCCAGGGAAGAGTTCAGACTGGTGTCATAATTAATTTACTTCATAAAGATTTAATTCAATTTTTAAACGATTCTCGTCCAATATTTCAACAAAAAATTAGTCAAATTTTAAAGAAATTTTTATTGCTGAAAGTAAATACCACATTTTGCGGTGAATTTATTAAGGCAAAAAATGATGTCCAAGGCGAAGTTGATGTTAAATATCTGAGTACCGGAAATGCTGTAGTTGATTTAGGAACAGAATTGAATGATTGGTTTGTTGAAAATGTGCAAGATAAAATTTTAAATCAAATGTCAGAGTTTCAGGAACGTGATTCCGGGTGGGCTTTAAATAATATTATTTATTTAGAGATTAACATTAATAAATTTGAAATGGGTAACGGGTCATCCTTCGTTGAGTTGCCTAAAGAAATTGCGAATAAAAGGGCTTGTATTAACATTAGAAATGACGATCAAGCGTGTTTTTATTGGTCAGTTGTATGCGGACTCTTTCCAGCACGTTTTCGTCAGTATTTACCCTCTTCATATCCATACTACAAAAGTGTTTTGAAAACTGAAAATTTACAAACACCTATGGAAATGAATAAAATAAGCAAATTTGAAAAAGACAATGATATTTCCATCAATGTTTATATCTTAGAGCTTAATAAAAATGAAAAAACTAGTTTTTATTCCGTGTTACCTGCACGATTAACAAAAGAAAAACGCGAAAAACATTCAAATTTGTTGTTAATACAAAATAAATATTATCCAAAAGTTAATGATTTTGATCCTGATCCGCAAGATAATGATTATGAAGAAATAAAATATCACTATTGTTACATTAAAAATTTGTCTCGATTAGTTTCCTCACAGCTCAGTAAATATAATCACAAGAAATACATTTGCGATAGGTGTTTGAATTATTTCAATAACGAAACTCGTCTACATGACCATGAAACAATATGTTCCAGTTTCAATGAGTATAAAGTGTCTTTTCCCAAATATGATTACGTTGAATTTCGAAACCATATATATAAACAAAGGACTCCGTTTGTAATTTACGCCGATTTTGAGAGTCAATTGAGAAAAGTAAATTTGAAAATTTCAGATAAAACCTCGAAATACCAAAAGCACGAAGCTTACAGTGCTGCATATTACTTTAAATGTTCTTATGATGATTCAATATCATTTTTCAAAAGTTATCGTGGTCTAGATTGTATTGATTGGTTCGTGGAGGAAATATCTAATTTATCAAAATTTGTTCGTTCAAAATTTAAGGATATTATACCAATGGATAGTGAAATTAGTCTAGATCAAAGGTCGAGTCATTGTCATATTTGTGAAAAACCTTTTTTAAAAGAAGATGTTATTGTTCGTGACCATGATCATTTTACTGGTAAATTTAGAGGTTTTGCCCATCAGGCTTGTAATTTAAATTTTAAAAAAATATTTGTAGTGCCCGTAGTATTCCAGAACCTTTCTGGATACGATAGCCACTTCCTGCTTCCGGTTTTAGCAAAAAAAAGCTATGTATCCATAGTTCCGGTTAATAAGGAAAAATACATCTCTTTTACATATTTCGAACCTGATTATAACATAAAATTTAGATTTATAGATTCGTTTAGATTTTTGGGAGCATCTCTGGATAATTTAGTTTCCAGTATGGATAAAAATGAACTATATATTTTAAGAAAAGAATTTTCCGATCTCGACGAATCAAAATTAAATTTACTGTCGCAAAAAGGTATTTTTTGTTACGATTACATCGACCATATAGACAAATTAAATGAAACAACTTTACCCCCGATTGAAGAATTCTATAATAAATTAAGTGAAAGCAATATTAGTGAAGAAAAATATTCCCACGCACAAAGTGTTTGGCAGTCGTT